GTCCAGCCAAGCACAATCTTTCTTTTTACCCCCGAGACACCATCTCTTGCAATCTCCTTTCCCCGGTACACATAACTGTCTACTTCCATGATTACCTTTCCAGCTACAATAACAGGTGATGACTTAGTGTATTTGTTAAACATGACCTTGGTTTTCTCAAGATGAATATTTAGGCCTACTGGTTATCTCACAGTGTATATAGTAATAAATATCAACGATTCTTCACATTATTCGGACTATTGTCCTCATCTTTGTTGCCATATTTATATTGATAAATATGGCGACAAATATGAGGACAATAGTCCGAGTAATGTAAATAGTGTACATAATACCTCATCTTAGAAATATAGACAAATAATCAACAATTCTTGTGATGTATAGTTGATTTAGTCGTAACGAATTTAGTTGCATATTTTTTGCAATACGATGTCCATAGACGACTAAAGATTACAGTTCTCTTTTAACTGGGAATAGTTATGTCTTGCAGGGAAGAATAATGAAGTGGTTTCCCATTTCATTCTCCTCCATTTTAAATTCAAAGCAATAATTTTCTTCGACTGGCTGTCATCCAACGCTTGAAAGTAGATTCTACCCTACAATTTAACATATAGCTATGTGAAAAAGATGCTTTCCTGGTTTTATCAAGGATATTAGGGCAAATGCAGCCGAACAGACCGGCATTTGAATTCGAAAGTTTGGTTTCACTGTCGACGCACATAATACCATGAAGATGTTCACCATTTTATTTAGATTTTGCTAGGATTTGTTTTAATCTAATTTTTAAAAAAATAATTATTATTTTAAGCAAATTCCACGATCGTCATTCAATGTTTGATAGCTAAATAGCAGTGATTATAAATGAAATGGTAAGATTTGAACGCATATCGCTTTTTCTTTGGAGAAACCAAAGAGAATATTAACAATAATTTGACACAAAATCATGACGTCATTAAATCTCCAGAGATTGTCTCAATTATTATTATTTTATTTTTTTTACCCGCCAAATAATTCCGGATCGATTCTTCTCTTTAACGATTTGGTTCGTGGACCTTATTTTATTGGCATTAGGTCAATCTGCCGAATAATCTCAATTTCGGATTAAGAAACGGTTTGGCATTTTCTTTGATTATTTAGTTTGTCTTGAATTCTATGAAGGGAAAGGTTTTCGCTTTTATTTCTATTTATGGAATCCATTTGTTCAAGTAGATTCGCTGGTGCATCATCATTTTTCGGCATGTTTGCATTGTGCGTGCCTCTACGCCTGTGTACGTGCGTGCGTATATTTGCGTATGCGTGTGTGTATATGCTTATGTGCGCGTATGCGTAGAAGTTTGTACGTGTTTGCGTGCACGTTTATACGTGTGTTAGTGTGTATGCGTGGGTATATTTGCGTATATATATGTGTCTGTGTGTGTACGTTGTTTGCGTGTGTATATGTCTGTATGCACGTGTGTATGTGTTCGTATCTGTGTATGTGTGGGTATGTCTTTATGCATGTCTAAGCGCGCGTGTGTATGTATTTCATGTTCTAGCGTGTATGCGTGTTTATACTTTCGTATGTGTATGCGTGCATGTGTATGTATGTATACGTGTGTACGCATTTGCGTTTATATGTGCATATATACGTATGTCTATATAAGTTTGTGCATGTGCGCGTATTTTTGTATGCGTGGGTATAAGTGTATATGTCTGCATGTGTGTGTGCGTATATTTGCATGTGTATACGTATGTGTATTCTCATATGTGTAGAATACTGTAACTGTGTGCATGCGTATGTGTGCATGTGTTTGCGCGTATGTGCGCGTACATTTGAGCATGTATATGTATGTGTGTACATGTTTGTGTGTATGTGCCTATGCTTGTGTGTATGTGCGTGTCTGTGTGTATGCGTGGCTAAGCAATAATAGGTCTGTATGTGTGTGTATGTGCGTATATATGTGTCTGTGTTTGTGTGTGTTTCTGTGTATCTGTGCAATAATTAGTCGAGTTCAATTGGTTGCTTCAGTCTTTTGGCATCTCATTTTCTTCCACAATTTAATTCCTTTGCTTGTCTTATTTTCCCTCAAAACGAGGCCATCAGTTCAGTTATAATTATTAAGAAACTGCACGAATTAACCGACACTAAACCTATCCAAAATACTCACACTTGCATAGTTTTTGTTTGTTTGTTTTCTTAGTTGCTTTATTTTATTTTATTTCATTTTGCTCGTTCGGTTTCTTGGTTGTTTTATTTTATTTTGTTTGTTTTCTTGGTAGTTTTATTTTATTTTATTTTGTTTGTTTTCTTGGTAGTTTTATTTTATTTTATTTTGTTTGTTTTCTTGGTAGTTTTATTTTATTTTATTTTATTTTATTTTGTTTGTTTTCTTGGTAGTTTTATTTTATTTTATTTTGTTTGTTTTCTTGGTAGTTTTATTTTATTTTATTTTGTTTGTTTTCTTGGTCGTTTTATTTTATTTTATCTTATTTTGTTTGTTTTCTTGGTAGTTTTATTTTATTT